GAAACACATGTAAAATTACATTATATAAAATTATTTAATTTTTTACTTACTTTTATTTTATTTTACTTACCTTCATCTATGTCTGCCGGAGTAGAAACAATAAAACTGGATACAAAATATAATTTAAACTTTTAAAAACCAACAAACTTAAATAATACTAAAATTCCACTAGTAATAATATTTTAATGCTTCAAAATTATTTACAGACGTCAAAGAGGAAGAAAAATGTATAATTTCAACATCATCACAAATGATGGAAGACAATCAAAACTGGTTATAAAATTGTTAAATACACCACATATAAGCGTATTTGAACAACTAGACTACTATCTGCGCTGGCAGCCGAGATGCAAGGAGAATAAGAAATGAGAAAATTCAAATTAATGAAAAAAATATTCTTATTTTAAGAGGAAAATTTCTCTTCAATCAAGAATATTACACTTCATCTAAAAGAATTTTCCACTTATTTTAAGAGGAATATTCTCACTCACTCACTTCAGTAGTTTTCATGGACGACTTTCCCCTTTTCAATTAATAGGATATTACGATATTACTTATTTTTAGTAAAATTTTACAAATCTTTTAGTAGAATTTCACTAAATGAATTAGTGAAACTGTCTTATCGACTTCTAATGCTTTCAATAAAACAGTTCTACTAATTGTTAGTAGAATTCTACTAAACATTTAGTAAAACTCTACTAATAATTAGTAAAATAATACTATTTGTTAGTAAAATTATTACTAAATTATTTGGTGGACGACTTTTCGTCATTTCATTACTAATTTTCTACTAATTCAGATTTAGAGAGAAAAAGGAAAATAATTTTGTTAAAATGATAGGATTATTTTTGAGCCATATTCAAGAGGAAAATATGCTTTAAAATAAAAAGGATCCGCTTAAAACAAGAATTTTTTTTGGTGTATCTATTTACCTGACCTTAAACAATTTATCTATCTTCTCATCATTATATATAATTACTCGTCGTTACTTCAACGCAAAAAGGAGTGTTGTATCAAGGAGTCTTGATTATAGAAATCAAGATACTTTTGATATCTATAAGGCACAAAAAATGTGCTAAAAAAAGGAAGAAATTAAAAAAAAGTTAATGAAAATGGCACATTATATAATATTTTCGTTAAAGTACCATTACCATTTATAAAATTAAAAAAAGTAAACAAATTTTTGAATAGAATGAGTACAATATATAATACAATTAATTTTATTATCTACAATTTACTTACCTGCCACCATCAATTATAATTAATAAAGAATACAATTTTTAAATTTTTCCTAAGGATACTTTAATTATTGTTACTTACATAAATCTATTTTCTTTAAATATGCAAAAAATTTCTTAAAATTTAAAAACAATATTTTTTTAATGAATCAAATAATAATAAAATCAAGGTAATTATAATTAATTATACGTATTATCCATATGAATTACAATTATTCATTTGCATTTATTTATTTATACATATACATTTTTTATTATTGTTTTTATTGCTTATTAATATTGTTATTTTTTATTTTAATTATTACAAATTTATTTATTTACAAAATATTTAATATACATATTAATAATATTATACTTATTATTTAGAGGAAAAAAAATTGTTATTTAATGTTAATTTATATTCTATTAAAAAAATATTTATTTTTATTAATTGGTAATTTAATTACAATTAATTCAATTAAATAAACAATTAAAAGAATCATAAATAGGCAGTAAAATAAAATAAAAATTATTCATATTGAATAATTATTTCTATTATTTTGAATATTATTATTTTTTTTTAATTATCAGAATACAATTTTAAATACTATTATTTGTAAAATTAATTTTTTCTGTTTTTTTATTAATATTTTATTTTAAAAGGTTAATAATTACTTTAATTAATTTAATTATTCAATTAAAATCTATAAAAATGAAAAAAATAATTTTGACTACGATTATTTAATTGTGTTTTATTTATTTTATTATTTACATTTAATCATTACTTATTTATTAATAGTATTTATATTGCATATTATTATTATTTTATGTTATTATTTTTATATACAATTTATTTATTTATAAAATTTGTTATTATTTAATTTTTTAAAATAAATAATTTAAATTAAATAAATAATCATTATTATTTAATTGAATATTAATTAAATTAATACAATTTAATTCATTAATGTAATTAATTCTAAATTTAATTGTTTATTATTCTTATTTAATAATTTTTAATTATTATTATTTATTTTAATTTATATTAAAATAAAAATAATTATTTTAATCAAATGATAATTTATTTAGAATGAATGAATTAAATTAAAAAAAAAAGTTACAGCTCCATCTATAGATCACTTTATTTATATTCAGTTACCGACATTTTCCATTTTTTACTGCCGCTTTCCTTCTACATAGTTTGTATTACCGTGATATTTCATTATCATAGTGAATTTAGCCATAGGTGGTCAAATCGAATTAGGGACAATCGAAATTAGGGAACTTTGACAGACTATGGGTGTGTACCGGACAATAATCGACGGTGCACATCAACGCACATCATTATACATATCTCGACGTCAAACCTCCCGCTCAGATTATCTCACGTGCCGGAAAAATTCCAGGCCAATGGGCGCGAACCAAGTACCCTTGGTCCTAAGCGTCCGCCGAGCCAGGCATTTATCCGACCAAGCTAATCTGTCAGTTTCGATTGGTATATATTAAGTCTATATTGTATTTAAATTAATAGAATTAAAACCAATTATAGACAAAAAATTTGCACTTTTAATAAAAATTCATTTTTTCTTAAAAATCATGTTGCTGTACAATAAAATGTTATTATTTATTAAAAAATAAATAAAAAATCTTATTTTTTGTATCAAGACGAATCGATTGATGTATAGAAAGTATATATTATATTGAAAATTATAGAATTAATTACAATTAAAGTTGAAAAATTCACTTTTTTACTGAAATTTTTTTTGTTTATTTAGATTCATATTACTGTATAAGAAAATTTTGTTCTTTTTATTAAGACGAATGAACTTTATTTTATAAATGTTAAATTGTATTAAAAATGATTTAAAAATTAAATATGAGGCATTTTACGTGAAATGTCCTAAGTTGAAATTTCAACTCCTTGAAAAAAATTGAAACTGGGGGAATTTGTTGTTCTATCAAGTAGGAATATGACCTAAACAACATTTTTGACTTTTTTGAAATTTTAAAGGGGGTAGAGGGGGTCAATTTTACTTAATAGAACAACAAATTCTCCCAGTTTAAATTTTTTTCAAGAAGTTGAAATTTTAACTTAGGACATTTCACGTAAAGTGCCTCATATACATGTTAATATTTGACTTGGAGGATTGATAAATTTCTTGACATTTAACATGTCGTTAATGTTTCCTCCACGAGAAAGCAAATTTTTGTTGCTGATCGTAAAGAGGAAGCAAAATGTTCATGTAATGAACATCTGGATTTACAACTTGTTTTTTATTTCATCACATAAGTCCACTAGGTATTGATTAGAGCTGTGCGAAATAATTCGAACCGAACTGTTCGAATTTTTTCTCCTAGTTAGCTTAGTTCGAATGTCGAAAATCCGACATTCGAACTAGCCCAGTTCGAATGTCGAATATTCGACATTCGAATTAGCCCAGTTCGGATGTCGAATATTCGACATTCGAGTTACTACAAGATTCGAACCGAACCGAGTTGTGTTCGGTTTTGGAACGCTTAAATGTCGAATTCTAAAATTCGACATTTCAGTCGCCCAGTTCGAATGTCGCCCCAAAACCGAACAAAACTCGGTTCAGTTTGAATTTTGCACAGCTCTAGTATTAATGTATTTGAGATCGCCATTTTTGGGGCCCTCTACGAATCGTAAATAACAGTTAAAAAACAAAACAATTTTTTCTTTTTGTAGTTTTTATGATGTACTTTAACCCGTTGACTGTCGCTGACGCATATATGCGCAACTTAAAAAAAGTGATTAAAAACTTCTTACATGTTCCTGAAACCGGTTACTCGGGGGTTTTCGAGGTCGCTGATTACGAATATGACATTCGTTTTCCAAAATTCAAAATGACGGATCCAATATGTCGGACAACAAAATAAAAAATTGATCAGATTGACTTGAAACTTGTTACTCGGGGGTTTTAAGGGTCGCTGATTACGAATCTAACATTAGTTTTCTAAAATTCAAAATGGCGGATCCAATATGGCGCACGACAAAATAAAAAATTAATTATAATGGCTTGCAACTGAATACTCGGGGGTTTTTAGGGTCGCTGATTACGAATCTGTCATTATTTTTTCAAGGTATTTATCGAAATTTGATTTCACCAAAAATTATCATACTGATGTCAGATTAACCAGTTTCAAACAAATTCAATAAATTTAAAAAAATTTTCCGCATTTTGAACCATGTATTTTGAATTTTGAAAAACTGATTTTAGATTCGTAATCAGCGACCCTGAAAATCCCCAAGTATTCAGTTTCAAGCAAATCTTATCAATTTTTTATTTCGTTGTCCGCCATATTGGATCCGCCATTTTGAATTTTGGAAACCTAATGTTATATTCGTAATCAGCGACTCTTAAAACCCCCGAGTAACAAGTTTCAAGCAAATTCGACGAATTTTGAAAAAATTCCGCCATCTTGGATCCGCTGTTTTGAATTTCGAAAAACTGATATCAGATTCGTAATCAGCGATCCCAGAAACCTTAGGGTACCAAGTTTCATAAAAATCCATTAAAAATTTTTTCAACACAGTTTTGGCCCAAACAGTGGAAATCTCGTTGACAGCCAAGGGGTTAAGGTGCAAAAATCGTTTTTAATATTTTAAATAAAATGACTGTGAAAAAAACATTAAAGTAGGGCCTACTTTTTGCCTTCACAAACGCAAGTACGCCTTAATAAAGTAAAAAGAATGCCAAAAATATTTTTTTGAAGAAAAAAAGTTTTACTCATGTGAGGTTAATTAATTACTAATAAATTTACCTTCTCTGGAAAATCAATTTTCAACTCTGTTACACTCTTTAGCCAGTATCTTTCACTTTTTTCTGATATTAATTCAATATTCAAAAAACTTCCTTGTTCTGGTCCATAGCGATGTCTGGAAGTTGTTCCTTTAACTATTCTCGGCGAAACATTCGTTACGTAATCCTAAATTTGATTAAAAATGAAAAAAAAATATTTTTATTTAACAGATAATAAAATTATTACTACTTTTAATAAACTTTTTTGTACCTTATCTAAACAAAATGTTTTTGTAACCGTGAAGCCCCAGCCAGCTTGAAATGCTCGTCGAATCATAGCACTGCTTGTTGCCGGTGGTGCCGAGGCCAAGCCAAAAGGATTGTCAAATTTTAAACCACATATTTCAATGCTAATATCCACCTCGTCAATTGGAGTGTGAAATTTTGGTAATTGAGGTTCTAATGGAACTTTACAATTATTTGACTCCTGAAAATAATATTTTTTTTACAAAACGTCGTTCTTTATTTATTTATTATAAATTAATTAAAAAATATTAATTTTGATAATTGTGGTTCTAATAAAACTTTACAAGTTTCTAAAATATTGCTTTTTTATAAAACGTTTTTATTTATTCAAGGTGACCGCTTTTTTTATAAAATAATTCCCGGTCAATTATTTTGATGAAATATTAACAATATTTTTTTAATTACTTGGATATATTTATGAATGAACCAAGACGCTGTTTTTCCATCATTAACCGATTCAACTGTGGTGTTAGAAACTCCTGCAATATCGCCCCCGCAGAAAATTCCCGGTTCTGAAGTTGCCATCGTTTCAACATTCACTTCCGGTTGACCCCATTTATTTAGCTTAACAGGAGCTAATGCATTTTTAACTAAAATTTTATTATACAGTATATAAAATTATTTAAAGTAATTTAAGTAATATAATTAACATAACTTATTAAATACAGTTGATGTAATTATTATAATCAAAACAATAAATGAAAATTTTTAATTATTATTAAATAAATAATCATGTAATTTTTTTCTTAATTTTTAATAATCTTGGAGAGAAATAAATTGAGATATATTTTTTAAAATCCCCCAAAAAGAAATAAATTTTCTAAAAAAATTGTTTAACAATTATTTTAGCTCCTTAATTGCAGGTAACAAATAAATAAACATTCTGGGAAAATTCAAGATATTTGTTGAAATTATGGGGAAAAAATGCAGATAATAATGAGTGGTGAAAAAATACCATCTTGATCATATAATCCAGAACCAAAGGCGGAAATAATAAAATTAGCTTTCAGTCTTATAATTTGATCCTCAGCTTCAATCCATTCTCCATTTTCGTTTTGCTCCGTTCGATAAAATTCAATTGCCACTATTTTTTTATTTCGTACTACAACTTTTTTTGGCGAATGAAATGGTAAAAATTCACATTTTTCATGACGAGCTAATTCCATCTGTAAAAAAATTTCAAAATTTTTATTAAAAGCAATTCTAATATGCGCGAGAAAAAAACAAATAAAAAGTAGAAATTATAGTAAAAGGGTTTTTTTTTGCAAACTTGTATTTAAATTATCATTAAATTAATTAAATTCAGTAAAAAATAAATATCTCACAGTTGTTTTTTTATTGTCAGCGCTCGGACTATACTGTGGTCAAATTTCGAAATTACTTTTTATTCGTATTTTAGTCGATTCATAATAATAACAACTAATTTATAAGTAGCGTTCGACTGTCGGTAAAGAAAATCCAATATTTAGACGTTTTTTAAAAATGACCACATGAGTTGTACTAGTATATTTTCAGGTATTTATCAAAAATGTAAAAAACTAACCTGAACCTGTTAATTGCTTGAGGGTTAAAAATAATATGTGAATAAAATCCCGTGTGGAAAAAGCCCCCATGAAGCCCACACGACGTGAGGGTCCCCGGCAGGGGCCGACGAGGGCTGATCCATGTGGGCAAATCTCTCTCTCTCTCTCTATTAAAATATTCGAATTATATTTTCCCGGAATAAATGTCATGTGTTTATTTTGAGCCGGAAAGGGTGTATTTACGAACTCTTGCAAGAAGCTTCTAGAACCTTCCAAAACGGAAGTTTCGCGAGGTGAAGCGTTTTTGCCAAAAACGTGCTCGTTAGTTTTGTTTCTCGAGTCATGAGAGTAAGAGGTGCGTTTGCACGAATTAAGGGTTGTCGTGGCGAGTGATCGCGTTCCGGTGTAAGCGAGAGAATTATAAATTGTTTATGAAAGAATCGTCAAATTAAGTTTAATAAACTTATTATTATTTGTCAAATTGTGTTGAACTTTTATTGTGACTTTAAAAGCACGAATCTAATCCTGGCAAACCAGAATTTTAATTAATTCTTTAACAATTTAATGTTACTTTTTTGAAAATATGGAACTCACATGAGGGCAAATCCTTGAGGGCCCCCGTGACGGGCCCGCATGGATCGTCCACATTATTGACTAGCAAAAATTTCTAAGTCCAAACAAAAATATTTTTTTACATAACAAAAATTATTGTTTATAATGATTTCAAACAATGAAAAACACGTTTTTTGTTATGGTGTATTAGTGTCAACATTGTTTTTTTGAATCATTAAAAGCAAGTCAGCAAGTCACCTACAATAAGACAATAATTTTCAAGTAGGTCCCGTAGCACAGTGAATAGAGCGTTTGTCTGGTAGTCCGTAGGTCGTAGGTTCTATTCTACACGGGATGTGAGAAAAGTAAATAATACAACTACACTAAGAAAAAAGAGGGCACGTTGCATCATGTTTTCGAGTCACGTTGCGTTGTTATGTCGTTAAACGGAATAAAATTGTTTTCAATTTTAATTACCCAATAAGAAGTAAAATGCATCCGAATTAAATAGAATATTAATGTGTGCAGATGAATTATCTTTAAAGGAATTAAAACATGGAACTTAAAAAATGACATAAGTTTGACATTGAAATGATTCAGAATTTAGCGATATTTGTATACATTTTAAAATATTTTAATCAACCTCTTCTTCTCGAGGCGTTAATCTAACATTAATCCAAACGAAATTATCAATCCTAAATCAGTCTGGAGTAATCATGAATGTCTATGAATTAAGTCCGTATTTATACGCAACAATCCAAAATTATGTCTGTTAAAAATTCATCTAAAATAAGTACGGAATAATGCGAAATCAATATGTAAAGAATACGAAATCAGTCGGCAATAATCAGAATTTAATCCAGTTAAAAGATTTAATTCCAAACAAGTATGAAACAATCCAAAATCTGTATGCAAAGAATACGGTAATAGTCAACGGCAATCTGAATAATAAGTCCGAAAAGAACTCATAGTAATATGGAATTTGTAAATATATATACAATCGACAGACAGTCCAAAACAATCCATATTCAATCCAATTCAAAGACTTAATCCGGAATGATTTTGGTATAACATTGAATTTGTATATTAAAAACTGTTGTATATTTCTGTCGCTCCTTCTCCCACTTCGCAAATGCCCCCCCTCTCTTACGGCAAGAAGAGATTAGGAGGCCCGAGCCTTGAATCTGTGTGCATCAAGACAGACAACTCAGTCTTGTTATATCCTTCGCTAATTAAGTACATTGTAATATTCTGTGTAACAGTGAGTAAAATAAAAGTACGTGTTTAAAAGGAAAGGCGTCGTCGCTTACGTAACTCCACAGACACAAACCTGTCCATCCCAAACCGCAAAAAAATTGGTCCTTCGAGCCGGATTGGAGGACGCACACGTGAAGTGGAGCCGGCCACGCGGACGCGGGCCAAGGAAAACGACACACGTGAGTAAATATTAGGCCGACTAAAGCACATGAAATTCAACTAAATCCCTTTTCTTACAAAAGTACTTTCATCTCTAGATTATTATTACACGTTTTTCAAAATCTAATAAAAGTATTCAATAATTTAACTTAGATTTAGTCACAAATTTGTTAAATTTAATCAATTCAATTTAACCTCTGTTAAATAAATTATACCTCCATGTAAAACAAACACGCCACACGGTCTGGCTGAAAAGTGCTACCTGACCAATAAAACCTGACCCTACGACAGGGTCAGGGCGGGCTTTACTATCTGCAAGGCCGTCTCTCCTTTGTCGGCCAGACAATGGAAGAGGCCTAGCTGCAAACACGGGCTACAAAGCCCTCTCTCCCTTTCCTTTGATACAAGAGAAGAGGCTTTGTAAGCAATAAACCCCAACGTCAAGGCTGTCTTTCCTTCGTTTCAAAAAACAGGAAAGAGGTCTCAGGCAATCATAAACAGATTCTCGTTTCAGCCGAACAGGCTACAATAGGGTTTTTCTTACTTGTATCGTTTCAGAATGGATGCAATCTCACAGAGAGAATTAAAAGAGGTGATGATCAGGCGTCACCTTCAATCAATCAAGGACGTCCCGAGAAACCAATGGACAATGGGCTTAATCGAGAGCCACTTGCAACTAGCAGACTCATACTGGATGGACTTCAAAGCCAACCACGTAACACTCCTTTACGAATTTGGTGACGAAAAGGAAAGCGAACCATACTTCGTCGATGGGGAATTTCACCAAGCTGAAGGAGACTACATATCAGCACGAGCGTACCTCTACGATATCCAAGAAGAGATGAGAACCAGCACCAGTGGACATCTCTCGACACCTCGTGCAGCACCCTCGGTCGGTGGCGGCCGGCTACCTATGATCACTGTACCATCGTTCAACGGCGAACCCCAACAATGGGAATCTTTCAAAGATTTGTTCCTATCACTAATAGATGGAGACGCGTAACTCAGACCAGTGGACAAGTTGTACTACCTCAAGACTCTGGTCACGGGCGAGGCACAATCAGCGATCCAAAACATCCCGGTCACCGCGGATAATTACGCAATAGCGTGGTCAACTTTACAAGCCCGATACGACAACAAATATCTGTTGATACAAAGCCACATGCACAGCCTCAAACGGATACGACGCTTCAAGGAGAAATCACCTGCAGAAATTCAAAGACTGATGGACAAACTTCAGAGACACCGAGACCAATTAAAAGCGTTAAGTCGCCTTGTGGATTACTAGGACGACTGGTTCGTTTTCATCGCAACGGATGCGATGGATGCCGTCACAAGACGAGGATGGGAAGAAGACCTCCAACAATCAGCAAGTACTACAACCGACTGCTACCCATCTTTGAAGCAACTGGTGACATACCTGCAACGACGATGTCGAACACTCAAGTAAATGGAAATTGGCAAAGGTAAAACCTCGTCTGGGCCAAAATCCACTAGCAACTCGTCAACTGGGGCAGCAAAGGAAATCATCACGTCCGTAACAACAACAACCAAATGCGGTACTTGCATTGAATCACATTATACAGGCCGATGCGAAAAATTCAAGGCAATGAAACCGAATCAACGACGAGAAATTGCAAGAAAAAGAAAACTTTGTTTTAACTGCCTCAGAGAGAACCACACATCATCAAACTGTCCGTCAAATTGGACCTGCAGAAGGTGTGGGAAAAAACACCACACAGGTACAGACGAAACGTCATCGTCCTGACTGACTGTGCTGCCTACAGCAAGGATTATTCTCGGAGATACTGGAAAACGCCGACTAGAAGTGCGGGGCCTTCTGGATCCATGCTCGGAAGCAACATTGGTCAAAGAAAACATAGCCCGTAAACTTGGTGATCATCTCGAGAAAATCAAGCTACACGTTGCCGGTGTTAGTGGGATATCAATGGACTCGGCAAGACTTCCCACTCGAATCCACCTCTATCCAATCGAACAAGTTCCCCTCCAAATCGAAGTCTATGGAATTAGACATATAGGCATAATCACACCATCTACAAAGTTCAACGATGAGATTCAAGGACTACGTAACGAACTAAAGTTAGCTAATCCAGACTTTGGAATACCTGCGGGAGTCGACATGATAATAGGCGCCAACGTCTACAGCCAGCTATTACAGCCAGGCCTCCAACAGAGAGGATCGCTTCTCGCTCAACAAACCGTGTTTGGCTGGATCATAACCAGGGTCTTTCGAAGGCTAGACCACCCGGTAATAAACAGCTCAGCTACAACCCTGATGACAGAAAAAGAAGACTTATGCCACGAAAAACTAGTAGGACTTCTTCAAAGATTCTGGGCAGTCGAGGAGATACCACGTGTACTTCGTCAATCAAAAGATGATATGGAATGTAAAACCCAATTTGTCCGCTTGCACCATCGAGTATCAACAGGGCGGTACACAGTCCCACTTCCAAAAAAATCCAACACCACAGCGTTAGGTACGAGCCTCAACATTGCACGCCTCGCCTTGTCAGCACAACATCGTCGAATGCAACGAGATCCGCAACTAAAACAAGAGTACTCGCATTTCATGGACGAATATATCGAAACTGGTCACATGAGACGATTAACGCAGAAAGAGATTGAAGATCACACCCAACCAATCAATTACATAC